TGAATTAAAATGGTTTAAAGTTGTAATTGTTAACAAAATTCGTAAAATTTTAATGCTTACTTGAGTATCAATTCAAATGTATCAAATGAAAAATTCATATCATGCAAATTTATGAAAAATTTATCACCAATTTTTCGTGCCCATTGTTGTGACAAAGCCACTTTAAAAAATTCACTTCTACCATAAAGTATAACTGAATGTGCTTGAAAAGTTTTTTTGTTGGTCGATTCATTACCAACTTCAATTATTGTATCATAAAAGTCACCTTTATTCAATAAGGTTGATAAATCTTGAGAAAGTGTTGTTAAAAAATTAGAAGACATTTTTTTTGTGTCTATCAGAGTTGTTTCGAAGCTAGTTCCTTATTGTCAACAAAATACAGGAATTCATGCAAAATATAAATATTGGTTGTGCAGATTGTGCATGTGAAATTGCTAATATTTGTTATATTGAATGTAACAGTAACATTTTTATTCTGATAGTAAATATTAATATCCAATGGTTACTAAACATGTTAATTTAATAAAATTGTGGATACGTATTCTTTGTAGACAAATTGTATTTACTATATTGACATTTCGCCACGAAAAAGCATGCGCCTAATACCTAGATTATTTATAAAATCATAATTCTTCCTTTAACTCTTTCTCAGAAACAATTTTCATTTTTCGATTTTTCAATAATTGGAAATCAAATTTCAAAAAATCAAATAGTATCGTTATTTTTATATATAAAGTTTTTATAAAGATTTTATAAAGATTTTATAAAGATGTTATTCAGGTCTCTCAGGTCTCTAATAATATTGATATTTGTTACAATTATTCTTGTGAACGATGGTAATAATCACAATAACCTCGAATATCGTGAGTACTAAAATTTTTGATGATTTAATTTTTATTATTCTACGCGATAAATTTCTTAATACCACCTTTTTTAATAGTTTCTCCACCGATACTTTTTACACTTCTTTTATAAGCTAATACGAATTTTGTACATGTGGAAATCTAACTTTAGTAAGTCTAAACCGTAAATTATCCGCATGAAATTTTTGAATAACACAATACTTTTTAACACTTACTAAAAGTGTTTAATTGATTATCATCTTTTAATTCATGT